CCAAAGGCCATCTAGTCCACCCTCCTTCCTTCCTCCCTGCCAAGAAAAGAAGAAAAGCCACAATTCGAGCCCTCCTGACAGATGACAGTCGGCCGAGTCCTTAAATGACAGGCCACTTTCCTTCCGGCCCATCTAGAATCGCAGAAGGGGTCCCCAAAGGCCATCTAGTCCACCCTCCTTCTTCCTTCCTGCTAGGAAAAGAAGGAAAGGCACCATTCGATCCCTCCAGACAGATCACCTTCCTTCTGGCCCATTTAGAATCACAGAAGGGACCCTCAAAGGTCATCTAGTCCACTTCCATCCTGCCTGCCAGAAAAAGAAGGAAACGATGCACCATTCGATCCCTCCCGAAAGATGGCAGTGGGCTGAGTGATTGAATGACAGACCATCTTCTTTCTGGCCCATCTAGAAGCACAGAAGGGACCCCCAAAGGCCATCTAGTCCGCTTCCTTCCTTCTAGGGAAAGAAGGAAAGGCACAATTCAATCCCTCCCGACAGATGACAGTCGGCTGACAGGCCGGCTTCCTTGTGGGCCATCTAGAATAAGAGAAGGGACCCCCAAAGGCCATCTAGTCCACTTCCTTCCTTCCTGCCTGCCAGGAAAAGAAGGAAAGGCACCATTCGATCCTTCCAGACAGATGGCAGACCAGCTTTCTTTTGGCCCATTTAGAATCACAGAAGAGACCCCCAAAGGCCATGTAGTCAACTTTCTTCCTTCCTGCCAGCCAGGAAAAGAAGTAAAGGCACAATTCGATCCCTCCCAACAGATGACAGTGGGCTGAGTGATTGAATGACAGACCGTCTTCTTTCTGCCGTGCCTGAATGACAGGTCATCTTCCTTCTGGCCTATTTAGAATCGCAGAAGGGACCCCCAAAGGCCATATAGTCCGCTTCCTTCCTTCTAGGAAAAGAAGGAAAGGCACAATTCAATCCCTCCCGACAGATGACAGTCGGCTGACAGGCCGGCTTCCTTGTGGGCCACCTAGAATAAGAGAAGGGACCCCCAAAGGCCATCTAGTCCACTTCCTTCCTTCCTGCCTGCCAGGAAAAGAAGGAAAGGCACCATTCGATCCTTCCAGACAGATGGCAGACCAGCTTTCTTTTGGCCCATTTAGAATCACAGAAGAGACCCCCAAAGGCCATGTAGTCAACTTTCTTCCTTCCTGCCAGCCAGGAAAAGAAGTAAAGGCACAATTCGATCCCTCCCAACAGATGACAGTGGGCTGAGTGATTGAATGACAGACCGTCTTCTTTCTGCCGTGCCTGAATGACAGGTCATCTTCCTTCTGGCCTATTTAGAATCGCAGAAGGGACCCCCAAAGGCCATATAGTCCGCTTCCTTCCTTCTAGGAAAAGAAGGAAAGGCACAATTCAATCCCTCCCGACAGATGACAAGATGGCAGGCCACCTTCCTTCTGGACCATTTAGAATCACAGAAGGGACCCCCAAAGGCCATCTAGTCCACTTCCTTCCTTCTAGGAAAAGAAGGAAAGGCACCATTCGATCCCTCCAGACAGATGGCAGGCCACCTTCCTTCTGGACCATTTAGAATCACAGAAGGGACCCCCAAAGGCCATCTAGTCCACTTCCTTCCTTCTAGGGAAAGAAGTAAAGGCACCATTCGATCCCTCCAGACAGATGGCAGGCCACCTTCCTTCTGGCCCATTTAGAATCACAGAAGGGACCCCCAAAGCCCATCTAGTCCACTCTCTTCCTTCTAGGGAAAGAAGTAAAGGCACCATTCGATCCCTCTTGACAGATGACAGTCGGCTGACAGGTTGGCTTCCTTGTGGGCTACCTAGAATAAGAGAAGGGACCCCTCAAGGCCATTTAGTCCAGCCATTTAGTTGAGGAATGGGCCTTCCTTCCCTCAGGGTGTTTGGGACTCCAACTCCCAGCATTCCTCACGGCCTCGGGACCCTTCCGAAGGAAGGGTCCCGAGGCCGTGAGGAATGCTGGGAGTTGGAGTCCCAAACACCCTGAGGGAAGGCCGAGCTGTTTCTGGTCAAGCCGGTTCTCGAACCAGGAAGCAAATATTATAACACTCTCTGAGGAGAAAGAGGGCGTGGCCGGCGCGACCTTTGACCCCTCCCCCACCCGGAAGCGCCCCCTCCCCTGGTTTCCCTACCTGAGGGCCAACCCGAGGTGCTTGAAGGCGTGCGAGGCGGAGATGTCCGAGGCCTGGTAGGGCTTCCTCCGCTCGGCGAAGCGGTGCGCCAGGCAGACCCGCCAGCCCCACGCCGGCACCCCCCGGCCAGACCCCTCCGACCCCTCGAAGGAGCCCATTAAGGGCGGGGAGGAGGAAGAGGGGGCCGCCCTCCCGCGGGAAGAAGACCCTCCCCCGCTGCAGCCCAGCCCGCAGCCGTTGCCCGGCGTCGCCATGGCCGGAGGAGCCGCCGTCCGAGCAGCAGAGCAGGCAGGAATGGACAGGCGCCCCTCGGACGGCGGAAACTGCCGAGTGGTTCCGAAGGGAAGAAATGGGCGGGGCCTGGCTTAGGCTCCTCCCCCCGAAGGAATCCGAATGGAAAGGAGGCGGGCGTCCGATAAGATTTCCCTCCCGAAGGGAAAGAATGGGCGGGGCCTGGATTAGGCTCCTCCCCCGAAGGCTGCGTCCAATAGGATCTCCCTCCCGAGCGATAAGATTTCCCTCCCGAGCGGCTCCGAAGGGTAGGAATGGGCGGGGCCTGTATTAGACTCCTCCTCCTGAAGGAATCCGAATGGAAGGAGTGGGAGGGGCCTGGCTTAGGCTCCTCCTCCCGAAGGCGTCCGAATGGGAGTACGATAAGATTTCCCTCCCGAGTGGCTCCGAAGGGAAAGAATGGGCGGGGCCTGGCTTAGGCTCCTCCTCCCGAAGGCTGCGTCCAATAGGATCTCCCTCCCGAGCGGCTCCGAAGGGAAAGAGTGGGCGGGGCCTGGCTTAGGCTCCACCTCCCGAAGGCTCCGTCCAATAGGATCTTCCTCCCGAGCGGCTCCGAAGGGAAGGAGTAGGCGGGGCCTGGCTTAGGCTCCTCCTCCCGAAGGCTGCGTCCAATAAGATCTCCCTCCCGAGCGGCTCCGAAGGGAAAGAGTGGGCGGGGCCCGGCTTAGGCTCCTCCTCCTGAAGGAATCCGAATGGAGAAGAGGCGGGGCGTCCGATAAGATTTCCCTCCCGAGCGTCTCCGAAGGGAAGGAATGGGCGGGGCCTGGCTTAGGCTCCTCCTCCCGAAGGAATCCGAATGGAGAAGAGGCGGGGCGTGCGATAAGATCTCCCTCTCGAGCGGCTCCGAAGGGAAAGAGTGGGCGGGGCCTGGAGTTGACTCCTCCTCTCGAAGGAATCCGAATGGAAAAGAGGCGGGGCGTAAGATAAGATCTCGCTCCCGAGCGGATCCGAAGGGAAAGAGTGGGCGGGGCCTGGCCTAGGCTCCTCCTCCCGAAGGCTTCCGAATGGGTGCACGATAAGATCTCCCTCCCGAGCGGCTCCGAGGGGAAGGAATGGGCGGGGCCTGGCTTAGGCTCCTCCTCCTGAAGGCTGCGTCCAATAGGATCTTCCTCCCGAGCGGCTGCGAAGATTAAAGAATGGGCGGGGCCTGGCTTAGGCTCCTCCTCCCGAAGGCTGCGTCCAATAGGATCTCCCTCCCGAGGGGCTCCGAAGGGAAGGAATGGGCGGGGCCTGGCTTAGGCTCCTCCTCCCGAAGGCTTCCGAATGGGTGTACGATAAGATCTCCCTCCCGAGCGGCTCCGAAGGGAAGGAATGGGCGGGGCCTGGATTAAGCTCCTCCCTCCGAAGGAATCCGAAGGGAAAGAATGGGCGGGGCCTGGCTTAGGCTCCTCCCCCCGAAGGCTTCCGAATGGATGTACGATTAGATCTCTCTCCCGAGCGGCTCCGAAGGGAAGGAGTAGGCGGGGTCTGGCTTAGGCTCCTCCCCCCGAAGGCATCCGAATACAGAGCAGGCAAGGAGTGCAATATCCGAAAGCTATGAGGAGGTCGACGGAAAGGGCCGAGCGTTTCCGAATGGGGAAAGTGGGCGGGGCATCAAACAGGCTCCTCCCCCTCCTCTCGCCGCCCCGCACAAGCCAACGAACGGGCAGAGCAAGGGGACCCAGCTCAGACGGCGGAAAGGGCCGAGTGCCTTCGAAGGGAAAGAGTGGGCGGGCCCTGGCCTAAGCTCCTCCTCCCGAAGGAATCAGAATAGAGAGGAGGCGGGGCGTGCGATAAGATGTTCTTCCCGAGCGTCTCCGAAGGGAAAAAGTGGGCGGGGCCTGCCTCTGGCTCCTCCTCCCGAAGACATCCGAGTAGAGAGGAGGCGGGGTCAGCTCCTCCGAAGTGGAAAGAGTGGGCGGGGCGTTCCTATGGCTCCTCCTCCTGAAGGAATCTGAATGGAGTGGGCGGGGCGTGCGGGCCTCTGACTCCTCCTCTCCTAATGGAGAAGAGGCGGGGCTTGCTACACGGTCTCCGAAGTGGAAAGAGTGGGCGGGGCGTTCATGTGGCTCCTCCTCCCAAGGGCGTCCCAATGGAGAGTGGGCGTGGCGTGCTAAATAAATAAATAAATTCCTGAGCAGACCCGAAGCAAAGAGTGGGCGGGGCGTGCCTTTGGCTCCTCCCCCAAGGGGGGGCATCCGAATGAAGATAGGCGGGGCGTGCGATACAGACTGACTTCCCGAGTGCCTCCGAAAGGTGGCTCCTCTAGAGAGAGGCCAGCGGAAAGAGCCGAAGGGGGGAGTGGGCGGGGCATCACTCCGGCGCTTCTTCCCGAGCGGACCCGAAGTGAAAAAGTGGGCGGGGCGTGCCTGTGACTCCTCCCCGAAGGGCATCCGAATGAAGAGTAGGCGGGGCGTGCGATAGAGACTGTCTTCCCGAGTGCCTCCGAAGGGTGGCTCCTCTAGCGGGAGGCCAGCGGAAAGAGCCGAAGGGGGGAGTGGGCGGGGCATCACTCTGGCACTTCTTCCAGAGCGTACCCGAAGTGAAAAAGTGGGCGGGGCGTGCCTGTGACTCCTCCCCCAAGGGCATCCGAATGAAGAGTAGGCGGGGCGTGCGATAGAGACTGTCTTCCCGAGTGCCTCCGAAGGGTGGCTCCTCTAGCGGGAGGCCAGCGGAAAGAGCCGAAGGGGGGAGTGGGCGGGGCATCACTCTGGCGCTTCTTCCCGAGCGGACCCGAAGTGAAGAAGTGGGCGGGGCGTGGCTGTGTCTCCTCCCCCGAGCGCCTCCGAAGTTTCCCGAAGGCTCCCGAAGGTTCCCGAAGTCTCCCGAAGGCCTGACTCGGCGGAGGCAGCGTCGGAAGTCCTGTCCGGCGATGATCGAGGTGTCTGCGTGGCTGGTGCGGGGCGCGGTGTTCCTGGCCGGGGAGGCGCTGGAGTGCCTGGTCACCCTCCGCAACCCGCTCCCGCCCGACGCCACCTCCGCCTCCAGGTAGGCCTTCTTGCCCGTTGTTTATGATTGAGCCCTGCCTGAGGAGAAGGGGAGGGGGCGGGGCCTAAGGTTGGTATGCAAATCGCTTGGCCACGCCCCTCCCCGCAGGCCCCGCCCCCTTCGGCAGTCTCAATACTATTAATGATGATAATAATAATAATAATACTGGGATTGAGAGGGACCCCTCAAGGCCATCTAGTCCAACCCCCTTTCTGCATCCACGCAGGAAAAGCACAGTCAAAGCACTCCTCACAGATGGCCATCTAGCCTCAAAAGTATTAATGATTATAATAATAATAATAATAATAATAATAATGTGGGAAAGGAACTCTAAAGGTCATGTAGTCCAACCACCTTTTGCCATGCAGGAAAAGCACCATCAAAGCACCCCTGACAGATGGCAACCCAGCCCCAATATTATTAATGAATACGGACAGTACCGTGATGATGATAATCATATAGTAATAATACATAAATTATATATAATATAATATTATATATATATATATGTATGTATAATTTGATGCTGATAATCATATAATAATAATTGTTATTTATATTTATTATTTATATTATATATATATATATATATAATATAAATAATAAATATAAATAACAATTATTATTATTATTATTAATAAATATAAATAACAATTAATTATTATTTATATAGAAGATAACAAGAACAACAACATTGCAAGGGACCTCTAAGGACCATCAAAACCAACCCGCCTTTTGCCATGCAGGAAAAGCACCATCAAAGCACCCCCGACAGATGGCCACCCAGCCCCAATACTAGGTTCTTGTGGGTTTTTTCGGGCTCTATGGCCATGTTCTTGAGGCATTTCCTCCTGACGTTTCGCCTGCATCTACGGCCAGCATCCTCAGAGACCTCACTGCCTCTGAGGATGCTTGCCATAGATGCAGCCGAAACGTCAGGAGGGAATGCCTCTAGAACATGGCCATATAGCCCGAAAAAACCCACAAGAACCTAGTGATTCCAGCCATGAAGGCCTTCGACAATACAGTGTACCAATACTGTTAATGAATAAGGACCGTACCATGATGATGATGATGATAATATAATAATAATTGTTATTTATATAAATGATAACAACAACAACAACATTGCAAGTGACCTCTAAAAACTATCAAAACCGACCCACCTTTTGCCCTGCAGGAAAAGCACCATCAAAGCACCCCTGACAGATGGCCGCCCAACCCCAATATTATTAATGAATAAGGATAGTACCGTGATGATGATGATAATAATATAATAATAATTGTTATTTATATAGATGATAACAAGAACAACAACAGATGGCCACCCAGCCCCAATATTATTAATGAATTAGAACAGTACCATGATGGTAATATAATAATTATTATCATTATTTATATAAATGATAACAACAACATTGGAAGGGACCTCTAAAGACCATCAAAACCAACCCGACTTTTGCCATACAGGAAAAGCACCATCAAAGTACCCCTGACAGTTGGCCGCCCAGCTCCAATAATATTGATGATGATGATGATGATGATGATGATAATAATAATAATAATAATGTGGGAAGGGACCTCTAAAGATCATCAAGTCCAACCGCCTTTTGCTATACAGGAAAAACACCATCAAAGCACCCCCGACAGATGGCCGCCCAGCCCCAATATTATTAATGAATAAGACCTGTACCATGATGATGATAATATAATAATTATTATTTAAATAGATGATAGCAACAACAACAACATTGCAAGGGACCTCTAAGGACCATAAAATCCAACCCGCCTTTTGCCATGCAGGAAAAGCACTATCAAAGCACCCCTGACAGTTGGCCGCCCAGCTCCAATAATATTGATGATGATGATGATGATGATGATGATAATAATAATAATAATAATGTGGGAAGGGACCTCTAAAGACCATCTAGTCCAACCACCTTTTGCCATGCAGGAAAAGCACCATCAAAGCACCCCTGACAGATGGCCGCCCAGCTCCAATAATATTGATGATGATGATGATGATCATGATGATGATGATAATAATAATAATAATGTGGGAAGGGACCTCTAAAGACCATCTAGTCCAACCACCTTTTGCCATGCAGGAAAAGCACCATCAAAGCACCCCTGACAGATGGCCGCCCAGCTCCAATAATATTGATGATGATGATGATGATGATGATGATGATGATGATAATAATAATAATGTGGGAAGGGACCTCTAAAGACCATCTAGTCCAACCACCTTTTGCCATGCAGGAAAAGCACCATCAAAGCACCCCTCACAGATGGCCGCCCAGCCCCAATATTATTAATGAATTAGAACAGTACCATGATGGTAATATAATAATAATTATTATTATTTATATAAATGATAACAACAACATTGGAAGGGACCTCTAAAGACCATCAAAACCAACCCACCTTTTGCCATGCAGGAAAAGCACCATCAAAGCACCCCCGACAGATGGCCACCCAGCCCCAATACTATTAATGAATTAGAACAGTACCATGATGATGATGATTATCACAATAGTTGGTCGAGGCCACATGGGCCATCTAGGCCAACCCCCTTCTGCCAGGCAGGAAAAGCATCCCCAACAGATGGCCATCCAGCCTCAATAATATTAATGACTAGCCGTCCCCTGCCATGCGTTGTTGTGGCCTGGTCTGTTTATATTTGTTTTCTCTGTGTACATACATATGCATATATGTGTGTGTATATATTTGCGTATATGAGTATTTGCACATATATATGTGGTTTTGCGCTTGCGTTGTAATGTATTTTTAATATATTTTTTGGCTTTTTAAGTCCCTTCCTCTGTGTTTTTCAGTGTTTTTATGGGTGGTGGTCACTTGTTGGCCTGAGAGGTGTCTTGTGTCCAAATTTGGTGTCAATTCATCCAGTGGTTTTTGAGTTATGTTAATCCCACAAACAAACATTACATTTACATTTATATAGATGACTAGTTGTGCCCTGCCACGCGCTGCTGTGGCCTATAGTAAAACTTATCAAAGTTGAGGTAGATATCTGGACTATTATGTGTGTGCAGCAGCGGGGGAATGATGGAGCCTGGGGTTGCGTGTGTGTGTGCGGCGGCGGGGGGAGTGGGGTTGCGGAGTTAAGATTGGGGCGGGGAGTGATGGAGCGTGGGGTTGCGTGTGTGTGTGCGGCGGCGGGGGGAGTGATGGAGCGTGGGGTTGCGTGTGTGTGGCGGCAGCGGGGGAGTGATGGAGCGTGGGGTTGCGTGTGTGTGTGCGGCGGCGGGGGGTGATGGAGCGTGGGGTTGCGTGTGTGTGTGCGGCGGCGGGGGGAGTGATGGAGCCTGGGGTTGCGTGTGTGTGTGCGGCAGCGGGGGGAGTGGGGTTGCGTGTGTGTGTGCGGCGGGGGGAGTGATGGAGCGTGGGGTTGCGTGTGTGTGCGGCGCGGGGGGAGTGATGGAGCGTGGGGTTGCGTGTGTGTGTGCGGTGGCGGGGGGAAGTGATGGAGCGTGGGGTTGCATGTGTGTGTGCGGCGGCGGGGGAGTGATGGAGTGTGGGGTTGTGTGTGTGCGTGGGGGGGGGGTGCGGGAAGCGGCGCGGCGGGGCTTGGAGTGGGCATGGCTTCCGCAGAGGGAACGTTGGCCGGAAGGCTGTGTGCGCACGCCAGGGAACTTGCGGCTGGGCACCAATGCGCATGCTCAGTTGTTTTGCCGTTTTGTGAGTGTGTTGTTGTGTTGTTTTTCATTTTGAGTAGATATGTTTGTACCTTGTGGGTTGTGTTATGGGCATGGGAATTTTGGTTAAGTTTCGTTGGGGGGTTGTGGAGTTTTGCTGTCCGGTTGAACCAACCTAACAGATTTATATATATAGATAACAGTAACAACAACAACAATAATAACGTTGCAAGGGATGTCTAAATGTTGCAAGGGATGTCTTTTGTCATACAGGAAAAGCACAATCAAAGCACCCCCGAAAGAGAGCCACACAGCTATGGAAGCTACTTCTCAGAGAGATGGATTACCCATGTTCTCCAGACCTTTGACCCTTTTAGCCGCGCTCTTCCTCTGGACCCCTTCCAGCTTAGAGTCAACAATAGGAAGATAGAGATGGCCTTCTGATTTTGGAAGCTAAGCAGGGTCAGCCTTGGTTGGTATTTGGATGGGAGACTCTGAACAGATACCGGGGGAACACACTGGCCTGAAAGCCACCTCTGAGCGCGTCCCTTGCCTAGGAAGGCTCTTGTACGATGCCTAGGGCTACCCTCAGTGGACATTCCCAGCTGGACTCATGCAGGTCTGGCTTCCTAGTTGCGCCATGGAGCCCGTTGGTCCAGTTTGGCTGGATGGACATGCCCAACTAGCCCCCTCCCCCCCAATGACTTTGTTTTGCTGGTGTTTTTGGTCCAGTCTGTTGTTGCATTTTAATTGGTTCTTATTCCCTGCTGTCATAAGTACTTTTAAAAACATTAAATAGGTTGTTTTATTCTGCTTTTAGTGAGACAGGTTGCATTAGGCACTTTCAGAGAGAAAAATAGACACAGACTCCAGTACTAGGTTTTATAATAATTATATTGGTTACATAGACAAAGGGGAATATTGCATTAACATTTACACATAGACTCTAACATTCAGTCATTCATTCATCATCCATTCATTCATCAAGCATTCTTACCATTAGGTTCTTGTGGGTTTTTTCGGGCTATAGAGCCATGTTCTAGAGGCATTTCTCCTGACGTTTCGCCTGCATCTATGGCAAGCATCCTCAGAGGTGTGAGGTCTGTTGGAAATAGGAAAAATGGGTATATATATCTGTGGAATGGCTGGGGTGGGGCAAGGAACTCTTCCCTGCTGCAGTTAGGTGTAAATGTTTAGCTGATCACCTTCATTAGCATTTGAAGGCCTGCCTGAGCCTGGGAAAATCTGTTGCTGGGAGGTGTTAATCTGTGGGAAGCCATACATCAAGGGAACCACTGATCGCAGAGGGAAGCTGATGAGGAAACACAACATACAAACAAT